CGCACGAATCGTACTGCTCTCCTTGTCCATGGCCTCCTCTTCACCTTCCAAATTCACCCTTCTCCGCTCTTTTGATCTTCAAGTCCTCTTCTTTCTTCTTTTTTTTCTTCTTCTTGTTCCCTCTCTTTTGCCTTTCTTCACTCTGCTCTATCTGCTCCTCAGCGTTTCCCGAAATTTCCACTCAATACGACAATCCGATGCGTTGAGAAAGGAGTAGCCTCTCCTAAGCCAAACTTTGATCCCAAGGCCGGTGTAGCTGTTTATAAACCCAAATCCTACGAAGTTCTCGTCACTGATGCTGCGAATTCCCTCGCTTATGCTCTTGAAGACGGAAAATTTCGCCTCGAGATTGATTTTCCGTAAAGCCCTTCCTTTCTGTTTGCATTTCAGTTTGCATGTGCTCTAACTAGGTGCCTAGTAACTCCATATTTCTAAAACGTGAATTTGGGAAATTGTTTCTATAGTTAGTCTAGTCGTGGAAGAGTCAATTGCTCGATTATCCCTTGTGTCCTGAGAGAGGATACCCATACTTGAAAAGATTATCCCTTGCGTTCTGAGAGAGGATACCGATACTTGAAAAGTTTTAAGTTTGTAGTATAGTAACTTTTTAACATACACGAAGATTAACTGCCATTTTATCATTCAAAAGTGACGTAATTCTGAGTTGATAGTGAAGATATAGCCAAAATGAGTGAATCTTATATGTTTTCTTTTGCATTATCTTTTGTGGTTTTTGCATGATTTTTGTGCTAAATTTGACAACTCAGTGGTAGGTATCAATGTCTGCATTTGTTCTCCTTAGCGATATAAATCATAATAAGTAATAATATTTGTTCTCCTTAATGATGACATGCTCTAATTCAAACAATCAAATAACTAATAATATTTGTAACGCTCATACTGCTCATGACTTGTTGGGAACTATGCAATTATAATGTTTGTAATGTTATGTGTTAATGCACTACTAATGCTTGGTTTATTTCTGCGGATTTTAAATGTTATTATCAATTTTTAGAGGGAAGAATATATGTAAAAGGCATACCATAGGTTTTGACGTTATTGGTTATAGCTTTTATATGCTATCATTTCTTTACCTGATTTTGCTCCTGGGGCTTATATCTTCAGGCCTTTGCCCAGCAACATTTCTTCTTACAAGGTACCATTCTTTTCTCTCATGAATCATTAGTGATTAAATTAATAATTCTTGTCTGTTCATGAACTGTCAATCTTTATATTATTTTATATCTTAGTATCTAGTAAGGGTTTCAATTGGACAGATTAGGTGGATTTTAGTAAGTGCGACGAATTTCACCAGTTGACATGCTCAGAATGTAGTAAAAATATTTTAAAATGATCCTATCGATTTAGGTTCATTTGTTGATGGTATCCAATTTTATAATTTGTCCATAACAATCAATTAAAAGATGGGTCCAATGTTACTGTATCCATTAGATTCATAATAACTAATGTGCAATATTTAACGAATGATTGAGTGGATTCATGAATGATGGCCATAAGTGCCTTCTATTCTTGTCTGATGAGTGACTCTATTCTTCATGCTTAAACTTGTGGTATATGATATCTTACATGTTATTGTGGATGTCTATACTTCTCCTTATCTACTCTTGTTTCTTTTTCATCTTTTCTTTTAATAACTATTGTGATTCCTCTTGTATAAATTTTTTCAACATTTTCCTCCTTTTCTTTATGCTTAATTATCTATAAATTTGTATGGCTAAATGTTGATTTTATGCTTCGAGACATTTTTGTTTTTATTGACAGTCTCTAGACTTTTGTAGGCATGTTTGCCTCATTACGCTGCACATAATTTTCTCAAATTCCTAAATATTTCAAGGGATCTTCAGATGAATTCAATGACGCCAACATTCAACTTGCATTGGCTGTAGTGAGAAAGCTCCAGGAAAAGAAGGAGACCAGGGCATGCATAGTAAGACCCATTTTTTCATTCACTTCCCGAGCAAGAAGTACTTGTTAATAAATACTGATTCTTATTTGGACAATATATAATTATATTTCTGTTCTGATTGTAGGTATTTCCTGATAAGCCAGAAAAACGCAGGGCCACCGAGTTGTTCAAAACAGCTCTAGATTCAGTAAAAAAATCACATTCACTAATTTTCTTTTCTTTTCTTTCTTTCTTTCTTTCTATTCTTTTCTTCTTCTTTTCTTTTTTTTTTTTTTTTTTTTTTTGAATGCTATGTTATGTTATTAAGATGGAAAAACTGAATGGAGTCGAATTCAATGTAACATGATATTATGTATGGGCCCAATTAAATGTCATCTTCGGAAAATCCTTTCTAAAAGTATCCTTCCAAGTCGACAATAACAATTAACAAGAAGTATCTCCCTTGTATTAAAGTCTTTCTTATTTTAAAGGTTGATTTTTTTTATGCTTCAGATTGATGGCATCACCATTGGTTCTCTGGATGACATCCCTGGTGGGCCTATCACTTCATTTTTCAGATCTGTTAGAGACACCCTTGATTTTGATTTTGAAGATGAGAATGAAGGCAAGTATTGAGGGTAAAATATTTGTGACCATCGTAGGGTGTCTTCGTTGGAATTAAAATGTGAAGGTACAATTGAAGGAATGAAAATAAGAGGATATATTTAGACTTGTTTTTAAGAAACCTTGTCAAGTTTTTCTTCTGCAACTTACAATTTTACTCCTGCCAAGTGTAACCTTATTCTTAAGTTATATCTTCTTGACATCTTGTTGGTTTGTATCACCTGATCATGATTAAAAGAATTAGTAACTTTTGTTTCTTACATGTGCAGGTCGGTGGAAGTCTAGTGAGCCCCCTACACTATACATATTCATTAATTGCAGTACAAGAGATCTTGCTTACGTTGAGCAGTATTTGGTATGGTAACTTTGAAAGCGAAACATTTGTACAGTCCTTGATGAATTTAATTATCTATCACTGGACAGGCTATACTATATCAGTGGCAGGCTGCTTTAGTATGATGCATATCATCAACCATTAATCTGTAACTTCTTGGATTGTGCAGGAAAAATTTGCTATTTCAACTCCAACACTTCTATTTAATCTCGAGCTAGAAACCCTGCGGTATATTTTCATTTCATTTTTTGATTTTGATCTATGCCTGTATCCCTGGAAGACATTTATTAGTGACAGACTATAGCTATTGACTTCACAGTGCCGACTTAGGCCTGCTGGGCTTTCCACCTAAAGATTTGCACTACCGATTTCTTTGTCAATTTACTCCAGTGTTCTATATTCGAATCAGGGAGTATTCAAAGGTACCTCTTCGTTTAATCTTCTCTAGATATTGATTCATCTTGCAATAATGAGCTTCGCTTGTTTACTTATTCTATTCTTCAGACAGTTGCTGTAGCTCCTTATATTGTCAATTACAGTGGAGCACTGTTTCGCCAGTATCCTGGTAGGCAATTTTTTTTTAAATTTTTAAATCAAGCATTGACTTTAATCCTATTGTTCATGATTTGTCCTTTTTCTTAGACATTGGAAAAAATGTCATTGGACCTGAACTTTATGATATGTTAAGGTCCTTGGCAGGTGATGCTTAAGCAAGTAGATGGTTCTTATGCTTGCGTAGCTGAGAGTGCAACCCGATTCACCCTTGGTGAAGTAAGCTCATAGACTTTAGCTCATTTTCTTTATTTATAATTTTATATGCTTTCATGCTAATCTACTGTCTGATCTAGGCCAAAGAGGAATTGTTGAGGGTCCTGGGACTTCAAGAAGAAGAGGGCAGCTCTCTAGAATTTCTTCGAAAAGGCTACAAGGTCTACCCTTGATAAAGAATCTGTTTTTTAGAATTTTATGTATTCTTGTAGCTAGATTTCTATGTCAGGTTTATTTATGTTAATGTTCGATTTCCTCTCTGGGTAAAATATGCACTTGCTATTGCCCTACCTGGGCATTCTTCTTATAACTAGAAGGCGGCCCTAAATTAGCTTATTGTGTGGAATGATTTCAAGCGTGCTGGCATATGATCCGTCTCTTTCTTGGGTTTGCAATGAGATACAGTGACTTTTGTTCATTTTGCCTTCACAAAGTTGATTGCCGTCTGAGTATTATATTATTTATTTATTTTTTCCTGACAAAGCTCTTCTGTTTTAGTGCAATTACTTTATGTGCCAAAAGATTTATATACTGTTATTCTTAATACATTTATACATGATAGGGCATTAAAACTAAGTATTATGCGCAGTTCCCCCTTGATTTAACTTTATATTCTGATGTTGCTGTTCTTGCTTCTGTTGGTATATATGCATGAGTGGATTGAGTTGATACGCGTCTCCTGGAAATTTTGGTTCTTTTTCAATATTGAGTAGACTCAATTTTTTGCTATTATGGTCCGACTGATCTTATGAATAAGTTATATATATGCTTCCTGCATTGTGTGATTTTGCAGTCAAGCACATGGTGGGAAGAGGATGCTGAGTTGGAAGTATCTTCTGCATGGCGGAGTTGAGCACCATAATACTGAAAGAGGTTCAGGAGCTTATTGGATCCGCTCAACCTGATTTTGAATGCTATCATGTATCCACCTAAAGCACAATTCTTATCTTGTGTATTCTTTGATGTAACATATGTTTGCCTCTTGCTGTTTGAAACTTCTGTCTACAGCAATTGTGACCAAGAAAACCTGGAAACAATTTGCTGGAAATCATGTCAAATTATGTAAGATACGAATGCGACACAATTATGAAAGCCCGAACCCCCAATGCAGTGTACTTTGCTTACTAATTAGACACATTTATCTTTTGATGGATGAGTTGTACTATTTATATTTACATCCATAATATAAATCGATGACACACGCTAGAAGCTTTTTTTTTTTTTTTTTGGGGTAGTACAATCAGGTTATACGCACAAGTAACCATGGACAGGTGTAGAAGGAACTGCTTTTATTTTATTTTATTTTTTTATTTTGTGTTAGTTCATTCTTTAACGTATCAAAATGAACATCGCATGCACAACTCGCAAGTGGAGCACACTATGAACAATTAAACAGCTCCCAAGCGTTAGAGTACACAAGAATCGCTTACAGAAAGTAGAGTGGTGTAGGTTTATCAAAACTCCAATCACCACAGGCCACAAACAAAGAAAGTTATACTTACCTCTCGCTATATTAGTTAAAAACTCTCGTCTCATCTGTGCATGTGAACAGGTTAAGACAGGAGGACAGACACACAAGAACTACTCCTCACATTTCAGCTGCTAAACAGGTAATGAATCAATCGCTATGATCATAAACACTGAAGTCAGGTTCTGGGGGCTTTCGGAGAGAACGAAGCTTATGACCATGAAGGGCTTTAGCAGCAAAGCGGGAAGCATAGATGGCTGAGCCAAGTCCAGTCCTTGATGAACTTTCAGTACGTGAAATCAAGGCTGTTCCATCATCATCAGAACCATAATCTTCCTCCTCCTCCTCCTCCTCCTCCTCCTCTATTAGTTGTGACTCTATCATCTTCCTCTTGGTATATCGGCGCCACGCAGCCTGAATGAAAGTTGCTGCCCATGTTCTCCATTGCTGCGAGTAGAAACGGAAGGTCTGCTGAACTTGTCTGCTATGGAGGCGTCTGAACTGTGAAGCCACAAACTTCAACATCTCTGCTTCCAAAGCAAATGCCTCCACCTCATTGATAGCTTTCACTGTCCGTGTAGATGATGGCAAGTTAGCTGCAGATTTCGGGTCCAGTGCCCATGTCAGAAGCTCTTCTCCACAAAAATCACCTTCTTTGAGAAGACCTCTGTTGAAAAATCCACTTCGTCCACCATCTGTGGTCACACTCTCTAAACGACCACGTATGATGAAGAACATCTCAACTACCGGATCTCCTTCCCTGACAATGTACGTTCCCTCTGTGTACAAACTAGGCTTCAAACGCTCACAAATAGCATCAAGCAAGCGTTCGTCCATATTAGCAAAGAGAGGAACCTGCATATGATATGCCATATACAGAAAGCTAATGAGGAGAAGGAATCACATTTCACAAACATGAGTTCAGAACTGTGATGATGAACCATCCCAATATAAAGGTATACGAGTATACTTACCCTTCTAACCAAATTCAAGCAAAGATGCCGTTTGATATCCCTCCTTAGATCTTTTGGAAGACTCTGCACCAAGGTCTCTTCATCCACTCCTCGAGTTTCCATCCATTTGTATTGATCATAGCGTCTCACTCTTTCCCTTAGCTCTTGTGGAAGCACACGGTGATGCATCCACTGCTCAGAATCACGCCTTTTGATCCTCATTTCCTCAAGGCGGACGGTGATTGATTGAAGGTAGTTCTGTTCAATTGCATTATAACCCAAGGCTTAGAATTCTTACGCAACTTTTCACATGCATCATAACCCTCTAAACGGTGAGACACATGATGTTTTCACACATTGCCTTTGGGGTGGTTGTCTATGATTAGAATTTTAAGCATGCCCAACAAAGCATGTAAGGAAACTAAAACCGTGAAGCTAGGCTTTTGCTTACCTGCACTTTTCCAATCAGAAGAGCCATGAGCACAAGCCCCAAAATACATATAAATATGGAGAACAAAGCCTCCCCAATGTAAGTACTAGTGTCAAGCCCTTGCCCAAGTGTGCTGTGGAGAACAAAACGAAAGGTGCTTAGGTCCGTAAATCTTGTGAAGATATATAGCATTGCTCAAAATTAACTCGTCATTGCTTGATCCAGACACTGGTTAAAAATAACTATAGAATTCTCCAGCAACTCAGCACGCATAACTGCATTTGTTGAAAAAATGATGCAGAAGTGTCTGCATGTCATCTCGAAGTGTTTGTTATACTCTGAATTTCCACGTCAAACAATTAAAACAGGGTTTATCATATGCTGAATTTTCATATGAGCCCTGAGTCATGCTTTTTTGTTTTTTTGTTTTTTTCCACTCACTTTGATTATGCTTTTTGAAGAATAAAACATGGAAGATTAGCACACGAACTGCTGTCAAGTTAAAGCTTGTATAATTAAGTGATTGATGAGCAATAACTTAGCAGCTTGAATCACTGGATATTTTTTTGGGAACAAAATGAATGGAGAGACAATGAGAAAAGAAGCTTACACACACATACCTGACATTTTGAAGGCCCCACCAGAAACATAAAAAGAATTTACTCCACATATCACTGGAGGCAGTAATACCCTTCTCTATAACTCTAGCGTAGATGCCATAGTCAAATGGAGGGTCGTCACCTCCAGCCCCACAATTCCTGTCAAGAATATCCCCGTTGACATTTTTCCAGGCTTCATATCCAGGATGGCGCCTATTCGAGCTCTCACAGTACAAGAAATGTGGAATGCATCCTTGAGCGGAAGCAGCAGCACAAGCCTTCTGCCAGCATGTGTCATTTCGTTCAATGGCTAGTAAGTACCATGCAGACCCCACTATCTGTGACAACACACAACACAACACTTGCTTTCGTTACTCCACAGTTCAGACAACTCATATTGAAACAAAATGACAAGTGTGAATTAAATAACAACGCAATCACTGAGCGGCAAAAGGAGAAGTCAAGAAGAAGCATCACTTTGCCACATGAAAGATGAACTTACATGACTAACAAGCATGTACCAAACCAAATAGTAGGTGGCACCCACAAGCGCATTATCAGAAAAAACAGCAGCTGTCTTCTTAACTTCCGTAGCTAAAGGGATAAAGCGTGCAAATCTCGGAATGTATTGGAGGATGACCACTCTCAGTAGCGTAGTTTTTGTGGCCAACACCTCTAAACCTTTTGCTTTGCGAAGATAGTTGGCCACCACAATCTGCACTGAAAACATATATATATCACACCACTTCTGGGAAACACACCTCCAAACCTGACTAGACTAGTTAATTTTTATAGCTAAATGCGAGGTTTTTTTTTTTTTATTTGAGTCAGACAGATAAGTGACTGTATCTAAAACTAGCCTTCAATTCATTCTAAATATGATAATTTATCATCACTATTCTTCCCATAATCATGAGCTAACTACAGCTCATCATCTTTTTGTGGTGAAAGTCCTACTGTCTTTTCCCCGATCATCTACCTAATATTTCATTACTAAAAGTCATATGTGCTAATACATGCATTTCCCTGCATACTAAGCTTTTAGCTTATTTCACTCATTTTGCATCTATAATGTATTTATAATACTTCAAACAAAACATATGTGTAACACTGGATTTAGATTCAAGCATTAGATGAAGAGAGCGTTGCACAAAACTTACCATGGAGGTTAGATCCTAGCTAATATTATTTTTTGGACTAGATCTAAATGCAGTGACTTGGGCATTTGACATTACGTATTTCTATAGAATTATTACAGGTGGAGGAGAAACTCTTGAAGCAAAGCAGTGGCTAAAAGAGGCTGATGATAATAGTTTGTCCAACCTGTGGCAATGGCAGCACAGAACTGAAATCAATGATGAAGTAACGCCCTAGGTATCTCTTGGCAATCTTTTTAGGATCAATGACAAGTTCACCTCGTCCAAACACCCGAGAGGATGGTGCAATATAAGCAGTCCGGAATTGGAAAGCCACGCGGATGAGATAGATAGCGTCAAGTATTGATCTCAGAATAATAGCAGTAGATGCAAGTGCAGTATCAATGGCGAGGCAGTGTGATCTGAGGTTGAAGTAGGGAAGGTAGAAGAAGAGAGGATCACATGACACTGAAATAATACACAGAAGCTCAAAAAACTTGTTCCACAGCAAAAGGGTCTTGTCTTGAGGATCAAATATTTTAGTCTCTGATACTTTAAGATCTTCTGGGAACACTTGCCAGGTGACTCCACTTTTCAGTGATCTTCCAAATGTCTTTAGTCCATCTGATCCTCTCTTCATTCCTATCCTAAAGGATTTTGATGCATTCTTATTTTCACGACCAGGAAGTGGCTTACCCTCTATATTAAATCTGAGCTTCTTCATGATTCCTCGTGGGCTGGATTGCACTGAATTGTTAGAATCAAGATCATCCAACCTATATCATCACCATTGGACGCTTATTTTAACAACTCAACACAAACCAGGTGTATTATGAACTCTGAATTCTCAAATCATTCACCTTCAATATGTTCACCATAGAACATCAGTGAGTGTGTGTGTGTGTGTGTTTGTGCAGTACTTGTGAATTTGGTACCTTACAAATGTATCTCTCTGGCCATATGAATTGTAACAAGAGTTGAACATGCTGAAGAAGTCACATCAGCATCTGTATAGTAGTTAACCTACTGAATAAATCACATTCTTTCATGAAAGCACTGAAGGCAAGAGGCTGTAAAATGTAGCAAAATTCTTGTGAATCCATATCAACTTAGATTTGGACATATTTGAAGAATTCTTCTCAAATATTATAGTCATTGAAATGCTTATTTGTATTGGTACAACATAGATTTCAACATGCTAAACATCCCGACATGATAAACAATGCTATGTTCTTGGAGAAATACTGCAAAATTATTCACCATCCAACATTCACACCCAAGAATTATTTCTTATGGCTTTCCAAGTTTGGCTGTTTAAATTAGACCTGATTTGACATTATTTAAACTGTAATAAACCTTCCTGGACAGAGAAAGAGAATGATGGTAACTTCAGCACAGTTCTAGGAATTTTATATTCCATCTATATCATATTTCGCTATTAATATAATCATTTCTATTCAACACAATCCTGATATCCACAAAAATGCAAGATACAACACGATATAAACACCACAATATTTATATAATAAAAAAATATGTTGTGTTTATATATAATTTCAAGAATTGCCTATTAGACATTAATGTTAAATACGTATCAATAATTTCAATTCCGGAAAACATTTTTTCAAAGCTGCTGTTCTTTTCTGCAGAAGAAATTCACCTCCATTGATTTGTCCCCCCCCCCATCATCGAAAAAAACAGGGAAAATTTAAAAAAAAAAAATTAAAACCTCATAGCTGATCGATTAAAACTGATATCAAATTGGGAGAAAAATAAATGTAAAACAAAAGGCAGAAATTGCAAGGACTTACAATGAATGTTTGAAGAAATGAGAAAGTAGAGAAATTCAGAAAGGGAAAGAAAATGATAGAAGAGAAAGTTTGCCTCTGGACCGTTGAATTCGGAAGTTAAAACAGTTATTATCGTTATACTGGTTCCCGCTAGATTTGTATTGAACGGTTTTACCTTTGAGCCTTTGACTAACTTTCTTCAAATTTTACTACTTGGGTACTTCTTGGTATTACCATTAGGTGATTTTTTTTATTTGGTATTAGTAAAAAAAGAAAATAAAGAGATTGACATGATTACTTTAAACAGGAAAGGAAATTAATATTTAAGTCTTTTCTCGACAATTTCTTTCCTTTCTTTTTTTTTCTGAAATTCTTGTAAATTGCTTAACCAATCAAGACTTGTTAAAATGAATGATCCTTTTCCTTTTTTTGTGAATCAAAATCTGTGCACACATTTTAGGTTTACTATTTTGTTTATTAATGCAATCGCAACCACCACCTCCCATTCTTTGGATTGATTAACACCTAATTTAAGTCAATCTCTTTTTTTTTTTTTTGCCGACTTAAGTCAACCTCTTTTTAAAACATAATTTGTATGTGAAATTCTTTTATCAATAATAAAGTATTAAAAAATTATGATGTAATTAGATTAAAATTGCACTTGAATCTTACCCCATGCAAAAATGTACAATGTTAATTTCCAGTTGAAATAATAATTGACCACGCAATACATATGCATGTTGTAGCAACAGCAACAACAATAATATTTATCTCACTAGACAAGATCGGTTATAGTGTATGATGTCATTATGCTATATCATCACCTAAATCTTTAAAAGTATTATTAATTAAGAGCACGGATGCATATAGCAATTACTATTAAATAATGAGAATAAAAAAAAAGATAGGCAAAGAAAAAGATTAACACCTTTGAAAGATAGAAAGTAAAATGTGAGATTTACCTATGAGTGAGATCACCAAATCTCTCTATTCATTGAGGATAACTTAAAACTTGCCAATCTCTGTTGAGGAGGTCAAAGTTATCCAAAATAGGAGAGCTAGCCCTATTAAGAGCTTACTAATAAAGATAACCTTCCTGAACCCCATGCCCCAAGTAAGGTCAAAATAAAAGCAATATTTTAAAATTCAGACCGACATCAAACCGAAAACGTTAGCAAATCTTGATTTTGGGTCGAACTAATAAGATGATAGTTAAATAAAAATATTATTAAATTCATATTACACACACACACACATATATAATAAAGCATAATATGTTTTTGTTGACAATAAAATGGCACATTACCAAAAAACTAATAACATTATAATTTTATAACTTATCAAACAGAAATAGAATTTGATTAATTCAAATATAAGTAAGTTCAAAAATATCTATATTTGTACTAAAATATTATATATAAATACCTTTTCTAGTGGGCATTTAAACTTTAGTTCAGTACATTATAATGAAATAGTCCCTTCCGCAAACTGAACCCCCCTTTGATGTTCCCAAATGGTATTATATACGAAGGATCTAAAATAAAATTGACTTTTTGAAAGGTTTGATTCTAATTCATTTAAAAAAAATTAGCTTGTTTATATCAGTTTCAACTCCATTCGATTTTCTAAAAATCATTCCAAACACCAACTCAACTTTGGTTCAATGCTGGTCAATTAACAAAATAATTTTTTGGTCTAAAATTGGCAAGCCTAGATGACAGTCCAATCTAGTTCTTAAAACACTGGTTCAAACCCAAGAATTGAGTGATGGAACCCTCCAAGCCGAACACCCACTACAGTCTCAGACTAGGCATTAACTATGACCCACTTAGATGTTATGCCCTTGATGTTGGCTTGTTTAAGAATTACTCCTCCATCCAATGTATAAGTCACTTTTTAGAAGCATAATCTGATCTACTTTATAAGTCATTTGTTGATGAAATTACTTTGTTTTAAATTGAAATTCTCAAATTATCCTTAAAAAGTAAGAGAGAAAAAGACAGAAAAGAATAATAATATATGATTAACTTACTTTTTGTTTTTTACTTGAAAGTTATGTTTGAAATTTTACTTACTTTTATTTCTTGTACTTGTATTATATTGGTATTGATGAGATTGATAGAAATGACTTATAAATAAGACCAGAGGGAGTAACAATTAAACCACCAAGAATGGGCTAGTAAAAAGAGCTAGTCCTTATAATGCATAAAACCAAAAGTCAAACCAACCATACCTCAAATAAGAGAATACCTATTAGGAATTAAAAAAAAAAAAAGAATCAACAAATAATAACATAGAATCACTAACCGTTCTGCTTCATGTAAATTATGAAACCATTGTTTTAAAAGCAGCTACTGTCTAATCATCTCGACATGAATTCCTGAAACCATAGTCTGCTAGCTAGGCTTAGTAGTTTTCCCATCTGTATGGATTAATTTAAAACTCATTTTCTACAGCTGGTGTGACATTTTTTGCATAAAAAAATAGAATCCAAAGACAACAGATGTGAGAAGACGAAGTGGCCAGCAATGGAGCTGGAAGCTTCCTTTTGCAATTCCATTCTTCACAAGTGGGACTCAATAAAAAGCAAATAGCATTAGCATGCAAGCAGATGACAACCATTCTTCACAAGGCATCACGAGCAGCTATACGGCAAGTGATTGCATCTGCAAGTGATGATACACCAAGCTCTGGGCCAGATATCTTGTAATGCTGAAACATAGCAGAATCAATGATTATGCCATTATGTACAAAAGGAAAAACAGAAAGTGGTATAGATTAATGCTTTGTTTGGAATAAGAAGAAAATAAGGAGGAGACAAAAGCAGAAAACTAAAGGAAAAAGATATTTTTCACCCTTATTTCCCCTAATTTCCCCATAGAAAGGGAGAAAACTGATGGAAAAACTGTGTTAGGGAGGAAAAATATCATCGTCTTCTACTTTTCTTTCATAATTTTCTCTCCTCTCTATTTCCTCTCATTCCAGACAAAAGATGAGTGTAGATGCAAACTTTCTGTATCTGGGCTTGGTTTGCCCTCGCTTCCAGCTCTTCCAGGTCAATCTCTTTTCCGCTAATCAACTTCTCAACTGCTTTCATCTTAAAACAAGGAGAATTATCTTTGGTGTCAATTTCTAGCAACGTGAGATAAAAAAGAAGGGTGTCATATTTCATTGCAGAATTATCTCACCTCCTCAGGAGTAGCATCAAATCGAGCAGCAAGGATGTAAGTTGTGGTATCAGAGATGCCGCATCTTTTCAATGATTCTGTTATCTAGTCATCAAACAAAGTTCATATTCTATCATACAGAACAATGAAACAAAACAGGTAACACAATAATACAAAATATTACATGCTTGGATCCTGAGTAATTATAAACCAGCTCTGAATGAAGTGTCCGTGTTGTTAAAGAATCCCGTGACTTGGCTATGAGGGTCTTATGTGCAGCAGCCAGAACAGGGAAAATATCTGGAATCTGGTTCAGAGGGAACATTAGCAAGATGAAAAAGGTTTCACTACTTGTCCACAGATAAATAATTACGATTATGCTTTCAATCATCATCTAATAAATGGGGCTGGACTTCACTCTGGGAAAAAGACAGCAAAACAAATGAACTAGAAAAAGGAAGGAAACCATAATTCCTAAATAAACAAAATTAAGAAGTATTACAAGCAAAGCATTGAGGAATGCAACTTCTGGTTCCAATGTTGCAGCTTGCATACTTTCCAAGAGCTCCCTGCAAGAACATCAAATTGTATATGATACTTCAACTAACGTCTAAGATCATGTTCCCAAACTTCATTATAGCATATACAAACTATTTTAAGCCAAAAAAAAAAAACCCTTACAATTCAATCAACAAATTAGCTTCTCTAGATTGGTGTATTACCCAATAGCCATCAGCGATTAGCCAAGATTTTGTGATTACCATTTTGTAAAATTACATTCCCAATAACAGTGCAACTAGCACCAACGCACAATCAGTTGATCATTTACAATTCATTATAATGATGCTTCTATATATATGTTTCCAGTTGTCCAAACAAACTTTTAAAGAACTGTTATTGAATTAAAAGTGATTGTTATTAGTATCTTAGATGCATCAGATCCCACGCTTTGAGCATTATGTCTTGTATACCAACTACTTGCTCTGTTGCTCAGCTATAAAAGATCAGAATCTGTTTTTCTCTACACTCTCATCCTCTTTCTCAACATTTGAAGAAAAGGAAAGTGGAAAAAGCAAGCATAGTCAAAGATCTACAAGAATGCTACTCAACGTGAAAAGTTCTCATTTTAATTATCACATAGACGAAAGACTAACTTTGAATTGGTGACATCAGCGAAAAGTGCAAGAGAAAGGGTGCTGCCATTAATCTTGAACACCTTCATAGCTTCAGCTTTGAATCTGTAATAAGACAGAAATCATTAGGCTGTGTTAATAAGGAACAAGTATAAAGAGAACAAGGGAAGCAAATCTGGTTAATAGAATTGCAACATATATTAAATCGCTAAAAAAGAACGAACGTTGCAAAAGAACAATTTGAGAGGTTAAAATCACACTGTGTCCTTTACAGAGCAAGCAATGAGCAGAGAGTAATTGATGGAGCCAGCTATAAAATTGGAAGCACATCAGGAAATTATAAAACTTTGACCATCAGCGAACATCATCACCAGACCGTCATTGAAGACCAACAACAGCGAAAATGGTTTCGGAAGGTTCAAAATAAGCCCACGGATGATTTTGTTTGCTTCCCAGACTGACTGTTACATTCAGCAAGAAAGCAGAACACAGATATTGAACGGTGACACGATTCCGAACTTACCTTGCCGGGGCGGAGGTGCGACGGCGATAGGTAGTGAGCGGCGGTGGTTGCACGAGGTTGGGTGGCTGAGTGGCGGCAGTTATCGGCGCAACGATGGGATGGAGCTCATTGAGGGCTGACAGGGAATTTTTTGTTGTCATTAAAAAAAAAAAAATCTGTGGGCAGCGGCAGACACAGGTAGCAGAATCAAATAAATATATAAAAAATATTAAAAGAATAAAAAAAATCTTGAAAGAAAAGTTAATTGTATGATAGAATATCCATGATACTCCCTCACTTTTTATATATAAAATATTTTTAATTAAATTACGTAAATTAATAAAAATTTATTTTTTAATTAAAAGTATAACAATATTTTAATTTAACTCTTAATTATTATAAATAAAAAATAATTTTTAAAGTAAATTAATGAGAATGCTTTTCTTTTTCTCTTTTTAATTTAATAAGGGTATAACAGCTCATTTATTAAAAAAATACTAACAACCTATTATATTTTGGGATAAAAAAGGTTTTAAAAAAATTTTATATATAGGAACGAGGGGAGTAGTATCCAATATAAATATGCATTATATATGTTAAATATATAATAAATATTATCTCTCCTTTTGAAAATATAAGACATTTTTTTAGAAGTTGCATATTAAAAAATGTAAAGTATTTTTAATTTTTTGATATGTAATCATTGTTTTTTTTAAAAAGTGCTCCTACTGATAATGACTTTATATTGATTATAGGATATTTAATAAAGATAAATATAAAAAGATAATGTTAGTTTGAAGGTAGGTAACTATTTTATTGAAATGTAAATTCAGTTAAAAATATCTTATATTTTTAAATGAAGGAAGTATTTGTTTTGTGAATAATAATCAACTTTTATATTTTACCTAGAGAAAAAAAATACTTTATATAGTAAAATTGGTAATTTACGTCAAGCTTATCCGGCCAACCTAAACTCCCTCAAAAAATTTAGAACCAAACCCCAAAAATAATATTTTTAATGTTCAAGCCTTGTTCGAGCATGGCCTAAATATTCGAATAAAAAATAATATTTTTAAAAAATATATATAATATAATAAATATTAATTAATTTTTTAAATTTTATGTTATTTTATTTTAAAATACCATATATTTGAGTGTATTATTATAGTTATTTTTTAAAAAATTAAAAATATTTATATTTTTATTATTTTTAATCAATAAAATATTCTAAAATAATATTTAAAATATATTTTAATATTAATTTTTATATTTTAAGACTTACTTATTTTTAAAAAAAAAATTTAACTCATATACATCGTTTAAGACTTGAATATCCCGATGAGCTTTTTAGCAATTTTGGCAAGTAATTGAGATCCTAATGATCCAACTATAGGCTAATTTACTTTGATTTTCATCTTTGTATTAAAAAAAAGACTTGAGTATCTTAAAAAATAAAATAAAATAATTAATTTTAAAGTAAAAAATTAAATTAAAAATAAAATTTGGGCACATACAAATTATCAATTCTATTATTAGATAAACATAATAAATAGAATAATATTTTTGGATAATGTTTTGATTATTGTCCACGCCAGACTTAGTTAAAAATTAAGAATAAATAAATTAAAGTAAATACCCTTTATATGTAGGGATTAAACAATATAAAAAGTTAAAAAAATAATTTAAAAATAATATTTTACTCATAATTAAATAATTTTAAGTCATATAATACAGTAATGACTTTTTTTTATTCTTAAAAATAAAAAATACAATTTATTCAAAAGTTATTGTAAACTTTGCACTAATCGGGATAATGATTTTAAGTTAATGGTCTAACCGTGATTAAATTATGATCAACTTAATCATAATTTAATTAAAATATATAAAATATTTACATATGACTATGATAAAAGCAATATTTAAACAATTAAGACATTAATTTACAAGTAAAAAAAATTTATAAATAAATTACACATAATACAATAAAACAATAACAGAATTACTTAAGTACAAAATTGATGAGTTATTATTTTGTTTATTCTTTTAAAGTCAAAATAATATTTTATGCTTAGCTATATGGGCTTTTTATATAAGGTATGATACTTTAAATTCAATCCGAATGAATCAGCTTAAATTGAGCCTGCCTCAAATAAGCTCAGTCCGCCTGAATTACCAACTCTATTATATAGTATGCTTTTTTTTTCTTGACCGATGGCTTTATGTAGCATGCTAAAAGGATTGTATTGTATCCACCAAGTGCTTGGATTAATTAGTCAAGAAGTTGATCAAACTTAATCAAAGCTTTTGAATTTGAATCCTAAATATGTACCAACTAAATTCTTGGTGGGCAATGGTGGAGTGGCATGTATTCATACCTGGAGAAAATGACTTGCTTGGGGTATGTATTTCATATTTTACAATTTGCACCATTTTCTTATTACATTTTGCCCCTTCTTATTTTAATATTTTAAACCTTAAACTCATTTCAATCTTACTTTTTAGCTTATATTTATTCAATTTTTTTAATTCAAACCCTAGTGAATATTAGCTCATAATTTCACTATACCTAATTAAATATCAACATTATTTATTAATTATTTAAAGAATAGGAAAAAAATCTAATGTAACTAACCTAGACCAATATCGTCATCATCATGAATACTAGTTAAAGATTAGTCAGAAAAAGGCTATAAAGAATAAAGATTTAACATTTAAGAGTAAACTTATTGAATGCTTTTTACTGGCTCATTACACTTGCAAGTCTTCAACTAAAGGTTAAATTAAGAAACAAAGAAAAAGAAAAAAGGAAAGAGAAATAATGAATTTGGAAGAGACAAAAAGATTTTTTTTGTTCCAAAGATTCTAGCTTTGTCATTGTCCCTAACCCAAGATCCTAGCTCCATTAAGAAGATGAATAGTTTTGTCAATGAATTTGAATCACTTAAGCAAGTAGTTGAGGGTTTGATCTACATCCCTTATATATATATATATATATAACAATTCATTTAAGAAAGGTCTACTTATTATTCTTAGTATCTTATAGGAAATATTTTTTGTTCTCAACGGAATCTATTTCTTATATTTAACTAAACAAAGAAAGAACTTGAATAATTTAAATTTAAAAATGTAGAAGATTTTGTTTCTATTTTCAAATACATTATCAATTGAACTAGTCTGAGATGGGAATAAAATTTAGATAGATTTATTGTATTTATAAAATATAATTTAATGGAATAATTAGGGTATTTATGGCAAGGGAAAATAGAATTAAGAATCCAAAAAAATTAATGATAATTACAAACCTTAAATTATTAAAATTTCAATAACAGACTATGATCCTTCTAATTAAAAAAATAGAAACTTATATACTTAGCATTATGTACTTAAGGTGCTTGTTTCTAATTAAATCATAACATGTGGATCTTTTATAAATTATTTATTCTATAGCAAATTCTTATTATTAACATTATTAACACATTAAAATTTACATATCATGATTTAATTGGATGGAAGTATATTAAATATATAAGGCTCATTATATAAGTTTTGCCCTTAAAAAATGAAAATAATTATTTAAAAAATTAATAAAATACACTTGATATTATTTATAATGTTAATTGAGAATTTATAAAAGTCACTTGTGAATTTCAATTTTTTGCTATTACTATACAAATAAACCACATGAAAAATTAAGAAAATATACTTAAAATTATTTATAATGTAAGTTAAAAATTTATAAAAGTTAATTATAGATTATAAATGAATTACTAATAATTTTTTTACCGTTAATATATAAATAAATTATTTGAGAAATCTAAAAAATATAATAATAGCAAGAGCGATGAATTAGGTAATGTTGTAAATTATGAGTCATTGGCCCACTCCAGCTATGATGAAGAAAGAGTGAGTGGCTGGTAAACGTAACGTAATGAAAGGAGAGAGAAAGATTAACGCACTGCATTTGAAGTAAATATTGAAATAAAAAGTCCTTATAAAAGCAAAACCCTCCATCTTGAAAAACAATTGTTAAATTGTTTAAAGATCACAACACAACAATGGTGGAAACAGGAGTGAGAATGTTGAAGAGACTATGAGAGCATTGTTCACAGTGTGTTGCATTGTTTTGCCTATTTTTGTGATTATTACTTGGCTACACTATTCATCAATCTCTTATCTTTTTCAAGAACTTCCCAACTTCAACAACATCTTGTCTGAAAAATCCCAGAAAGTTACAGCGGTTATTTCCAAGGAAGCAGACCCAGCCATTGCAGTGAAAGTGAAAGACCAGAGAATTACATTGGAACCAGGTAATTTCATAACACTTTGTTTCTGAATGGAATTAAGCTTTCTTTATATCCAGTGACTTCAATCTTTAATCTCTAGTTTTTGTTTCAATGATAACGAGAAGAATGTTTTGAGAGGCAAATACTTGAGATCTTAAAATCAATTTTTCACAGAAACATGCATCTAACAGGGAAAAGAAAATGGAAAAGAATCTGTTAAGAAGAGAAAGAAGTCAAATCCCATTTTTCCACCCCTTTTCCTTCCCTGTATTGTATTTATGGATTTGGATTTCTTCAATTCTTTAAAAAGTGAAAGACACATATGAAGTGAGATTTATATAAAACTTACATGAAAGTTTGAGGATTTCTCTTTTTAAATAAGAAGAGAAAAAAAATTATATTAAAATCTCATATAAAAAAATTAATTACTGTAAGATTTATTAATATAATTATTGTAAGGTTTATTGTTAATAAATCTTACAATAATTAATTTTTTATGTGAGATTTAACTGTAATACTCTCAAAGAAAAAATAGATTTAATGAGCCCCACATATCAAGTGGGTCCCACTAAAACATTTTTCTTGTGCTCTCTTCATCCAGACACTTTTGCAATTTGTGTTATGTTTGGGATGTTGCTTGAAATCAACAAAAAAAAAAATTACGACTTTGGACAAATAATTTGTTACTGAAGAGCTTTGTTTGGATTGAATTAGCATGAAGCCAAGATCCTCAATTATGGAGCAATTTGTTTTAAGAAATTGATAACTTTAAAAATAATTTAATAATTAAAAAATAAAGTATACTCACTTTATTAAAAAATATAAAATATTTTTAATCTTTTGAGGTGTAATCATTGCATTTTGTCCAAAAGTATTGTTATTGACAATGA